TGTGGCCAAGTTCTCACTCCCCTGGGGCTGCTGAGGTTCCTGTGACCTGACCCAGCAGACGTGTCTGCACATGTCAAGGGCCAGTGTGTCCTCCTGGTCCTGAACAGTCTTGTCCTTTGTTTTGTTTCCTTGATGTGCCTTTATAGTGGGGAATCAAAGTTAGGTCCTTTACAATAATTATGAAACTTCAATGTTAAGCAATGAAGTGTTCTGAAACCCAGGGAACAAATCCAGCAGTGTGAATGGGGACCTCACAGTCTGTCAGCAAAGGATGACAGCGGTGCTTTCCCATGGATTTGGGGTTCTCTGATTTTATTCCACACCTCCTATCTACACCAATCCCTTTGGTAAGCATTGCTTGAGAGGGTGACAGTGTTTGTTCCCATTTGGGGTGGGGGAGGTGAGCCAGGGAGATCACAGGGGTTGAGGTCAGCAGGTGAGCGGGGGTAGGGAAGACTGACTCTGTTTCTGCCTCTCTGGCCAGAGTGGTCTGGCTGTAGCACCCTACCCCTCTGCATCCCTAAGGTATGACCAGGGACAATCTGTCTCCGAGGATCCTCCCACCTGGGAATGGTTCCTGAGCTAGGGCAGTGTGGGATTGGGTGTGGTGATAGCTGGGCTAGAAACTATGTTCCTGTAGACTAGCTGGGACCTCACCCTCTCTCTATCCCCGTTTACCCTCAAGGCTGTGGGATCCCGGCCATTCCCCCAGTTGTGAGTGGCATGCAGAGGATCGTCAATGGGAAAGTTGCTGTCCCTGGCTCCTGGCCCTGGCAGGTGTCTCTGCAGGTGAGGGGAGTCTGCACGAATGGGGTGTCCTGCATTTGGGTCAGGGTGGGGACTCTGTCCGGGTTGTGGCTCTGACCTGCCAGCACTGACTCTACTTCTTCCTCCAGTATAGCACCGGCTTCCACTTCTGTGGGGGCTCCCTGATCAGCAAGGACTGGGTGGTCACCAGTGCACACTGTAAAGTCAGGTGAGGCCCAGGGAAGTCTCCAAGTGGGGGTGGGGGGAGCAGGCGAGTCCCCCTTCCTCACCCCACCCGCCTCCTCTAGCACATCCCACCAGGTGGTGGCTGGAATGTTTGACAAGAGATCAAAGGAGAATGTCCAGGTGCTGAGGATTGCTCAGGTATGCCAGGCTGGGGTTGGGCGGGGGTGAGAGAGACGGAAGGCCCACATTCTCCCAGGGCTCCCCTGGTCTGTCCTCTACTGGTGCCAGGAAGGCGTTTATCTCATGACACCCGCAGATCCCTGGTGGACTCCGGGCTGGGGCAGGACCTACTTCCATGGTGAGTGACCTTGTCACCCAGGATGTGAGTGGGGTATATCCAGAATGCAGATCTCCTATATCTCAGCTCTTTGATTTCATGGAAACAGTTTCATAAATATTCCCACAGTTTATTTAAATCACACTTAGTGACAAATTACCCACATGATGGACACGAGTCCATGATGGCCTTGAGCGGTCAGGTTCTGTGGATCAGCTCAGTCCCAGCAGGCCCTGCCCCACTCACCCCTGTAGCTTGGGGATCTGCTGGGCCTCAGCGATTGGAGTTGGGGCCTCCTTCCAGACCAGGCTGAGTCAGGTGTCCAGATGTTTCCAGGGCGTGGTCAAGCCCTAAGCCTCTAGCCCTGTGTCCCCGCATTGTCCAGGCCTTGTCTGATGGCCTCTTCCAGCTTTCTGTGTCCCTCTGCCCAGCCCAGGGCTTCCCGGCTGCTCCTTCCCCGGAACAGGCTGGGCAGGCAGGACTGTTCACAGCTGTGCCTGGAGCAAATTTGATACCACCTGGCATGAAATCAGAAGGAGGGAACCACTGAGATCTCTAAGGTTAAAGGGGGAACCGGGCTGAGTTCCAGCACCCTGAATAGTGATGGAAGCGGGACCAGGGAGGACAGCACCCTTGGGTCTTGTCCTCTCCTCCCAGGATGGGCAGGAGGCTGAGGGCTCGACTCCCTGTGTGACTTCTGTGGTCCCAGGCAGGGGCTCCAGCATGCTGCTGCAGGCCAGCGTGCCGCTCCTGTCCAACGCGGAGTGCAACAGCTTCTGGGAAAGAGAGATCCCTGACATCATGGTCTGCGCCGGGTCCGACAGAGTCACCGCCTGCATGGTATGGCCCTGATCATGTGGCCCCGTCAGGCTGAGGCCCTTCCTGCCCCCTGGTCTCTTTTCTGTCAGTTTGCGCCTGGTGCCCGGGTGTGTGTGTGGGAGGGGGGGAGCCAGGACCAGCACTGGCACTCGCCCAGCAGAGGACCAGCTTTGGGCCTGCCTGGGGCTCTGTCAGGGAATTATCTACACTGTCCCACCAGCTAGGTTTTTCAGCCCATTTACAGACCACAGCCCCAGGCCCTGGCAGCAGGTTCAAACTGCTACTTGAGAAGATGGAAATTTTGAGATGTGACTGCATATACATTTTATTTCTTTCAATATCAGTCTGAGCCAGGAGGGGTGTACAAGGATCCAGCAGTTGTTCCAGACTTGCAGACAGGTGCTTCTCCTCCCCCAGGGTGACTCTGGTAGCCCCCTGGTCTGCCAGAAGGACGGAGCCTGGACCTTGGTAGTTGTCGTGTCATTTGTCAGTGGCACCTGCCGCTCCAATATTCCTACCATTTACTCCCGTGTCACAGAGTTCATTCCCTAGATTCAGGAGATTGTCACACAAAACTAAGCCCTGGTTCAGTCCAACCCTGCGTTTTCACCATAAAAGTCCCTGCAGAGAAGTCCTGACTGACTGCTGGTGTCTGTGCCTGGGGCGGTGGCTGCAGTGCCCCTGTCCCCCACCAGGGGGCGGCGTGCCCCTCCCTTTCCAGCTCAGAGCCCAGAGCCCCTGTTTGTCAGGAGCTGAGGCCTTTGGGT